GAAAAACGAAGTCATGGTCAATAAGCAACACCAAAGCAAAACCAAATTCAGCAGAGAAATCACCAAATCTTGCAGCTCCAACGACCAGCTCCTGGAGCTTAGAATGCTCTTCTGGGCTCCAAAGACCTTGGCTAAGAAAGTCCCTTGAGCGATGCCTGGTCCTTTTTTTTTTTTTTTTTTTTTTTTTTTTTTTTTTTCGTTGACTTTTGTTATTCACATACTTCACAGAAAAGGGAAATGTAAGTGGATTAGAGCTGTATGGAGAACAAACCGGGCTGGCACACGCCACTCTGTTTACACGGGGAGCAGCAGGTGCTGTTGTCCAATGGCCCTTCGTACAGCCCTGGGCACACTTGGAGCAGCAGGAACAGCAGCTTTTCCTGCAGGAAGTGCATTTTCATTCTCTGCAGCTGCAGGAGCCAGCACAGAAGAGGAGCTGCCAGTGGCACAGGAGCAGTTGGGGTCTGTGCCAGGCCAGGCAGTGAGGCTAGAGATGCAGAGTGAGTAGTAGAGTCAGTCAGGCTGCTGGAAGGCCTTTTAATGTCCCATGATTTAAGATAGCAGATGGTTACAACACTTAATTGCTGTTATCTCAATTGATGTTACATTGCATCACAAAGAAATAGAGGAAAGAAAACACCAATAGCTACCTAATAGATACACAAGCAGATTCTTAACAATTGGATAAAAACATCCATCATGACAGTTATAATCCTCATTTTCTGTAGCTGGTCACGAGGCCTTACTTGGTATATGTAACTACCTTCCTCCAGAACCAATTCTCTATTTCCTCCACCTTCAGAAAGCACTTTAGCGGGTCTTGGTTCTTTACCTGGAAGGGTGACCCACACTTCAGTCCTGAAAGGTCGGGCCATTGATAATCCTGCCTGGATTGGGTTGTTGTAACTTACCACTGACCTTAATCACAGGAAATGGGAACACCAAGAAATGCCTTAAAGGATCTCCTGTCTTCCATAGTCTCCCTTGCTTCCAGTGAAGTCTGGATCAATCACACCTCCTAACTGTTACTTCTTTCTTAATCAGTTAACTCAGACATCAGGAGCCCAACCAAAGTGGCCTGGGGGAAGTCTTAGCTGAATTTCAGTTCAATGGAATGTTTTTTGTGCCTTCTGGCAGATGCATTCCTCTCTGAAACCAAAATTTCTAGGCCTGTAGAGTACAAGGTCAGAACGTGAAGCAAATATTTTCCTAGTGGGTCTCTAGGAGTGTTCCTGAGAGGTACCATTCCCATCTCCACCCCTTGAGTCCTGAACCTGTCAGTTCTGGCTATAGGAGAAAATAGTACCACATATTGGATGCTGATTCCATTTGCAAATTCCGCCTTCTGGAGAACACTGCCCCAGCCTGCCAGGCTCTTGCCACCTAATTAGCACTGTAGCCGTCTTTAAAAGGCCATCCCACTGGTCTGTCAAGCCAGCTACTTCAGGCTGGTGAGGAACATGACACCAGTGAATTTCATAAGCATGAGTCACTGCCACACTTCTTAGCTGTGAAGTGAGTTCCCTGATCAGAAGAGATGCCGCTTGTAATACTATGATGGTGAATAAGGCATTCTGTAAGTCCATGGATCGTCGTTTCGGCAGAAGCATTACATGTAGCAAACCCGTAGCCAAAGTAAGTATCTATTCCAGTAAGGAGAAAGTGCTGCCTCCTCCACCATGAAAGTGGTCCAATGTAGTTAACCTGCCACCACGTCACTGGCTGGTCACCTTGGGGAATGGTACTCTACTGGGGGCTCAGTATTGCTCTGTTATGAAATTTAAAGTCTATTTTTTCAAAACTACAACTATATTTCACTAATAACCATAGTGACAATAGACCTAGTCAAACTAGAGAGAAGAACAGACTTGGCTCTGTATTTGCTCACATCTTTCCAGCATGCAAAGTGACAGGAATTTGTGTGTTTAGGTTAAAGTTCTGTTTTTTGAAAGATGAAAGGGATTAATTCTAAGTATCCAATTAAAACAAGATTGAAGTATTGATTTCATGTGTTTCCTACTTCACTGGTCAGGAAAGATACAAGAAATATTATAGTGAGTAGGAAAAAAAAAAAAAACAAGTTTGTGCTTAGACCAAAGCTCAAAAGACCAGACAAGTATTTCTTAGAGAGGAGACCAGGTGACTGAATATATGAAGTGATTTGGAATGGTTGTCTTTGTACAGAAGACCTACATACACCACTGGAACATTCCTTTCCTGTATTTCTTGTATAATTAGGAACTGATCTGATAATATTGATTCATGAGCTTTGTTTACTACTGTTCAATTTTAAAAATATTTCTGAGCCTCAGGGATACTTATATTTATGTTAAATATAGTAAATCACATCACTTGTTGTTTGAATATGTGCTCTCAATTTCAAGCTCAGAGCCAAGTGAACACACAGTGACCAGGGCACACAAGTAAACAAGAACCTTAGGTTCTGGGTCTGCAGGAAGTACATGTTAGTGGGCACAAAGGTGGAACTGTCTGTCACATTGCACATGAAGGGGCTACAGGGTACAAAGCCAGCATACGCTGAAAGTAAAACTACAGGTGCCAATGGGAATTTCACCCAAAGTATCCATGCTCTCTCCCTTTCATAAATAATCTAAGCCACCTTATTGTTCTAGAAGCATCCTGACAGAAGTTTCTTCAGTAACTATAAGCACACATGAAATAGCAAGCCAGCATGATGTCATGAAAACAGGTCATGCCAACCTTCCCTTTCCTGGAATACTAAACTAGTCATCTAGGGAAAATAACACCAGGCAAGCTCCTATTTTCCAATGATCAGAGCGAATAAAATATCACCAGTTCAGAACTTTATGTAAAATACATCTGTGGTAAAAGTTTTACTTCTTTCCAGAGTTAAGGCAGTAATTGGTTCATGTTTTAAGATGTTGTGAGAACTTTATAATTCACATATAAAATGCTATCATAGTGTGATTTATGTTAAGAAGTAAATACTTGCTCTTCATCCCTGGCTGTTTCTTGGCTCTCAAAACCCCTGGGATCTCCAGCAGTTGTTTCATTCCTAAACTTGGGACCACGAATATGTGTACTAAGTCTCTCTTGATAAACAATTACCTAACAGTGTGGGAAGCATATTTTATTTTTATTATTTGTATGTGTATGAGTGTTATGCCTGCATGTATGTAAGTACACACGTCATGCAATGCCCAAGGAGGTCTGTTGGGGGACCCTGCTGCTAAGGTTGTACTCCTCCATGTCCAGATAGCTCTAAGGGGCTCGGTGATATATGGAAGGACTCCCTTTCTCAGCAGGGGCCTCCTGCTCTCTGCCTGACTTACCTGGAAAGTGCCATCAAGCACCAATGCCTGACCTTATTTGGAACATGACCTTTGGCATAGTTATCTGCAATAAAACTGCCCCCAGGTTTTTTCTATATGATAATTAGGCATTGCCCTATAGTCAGATGATAGGATCCCCTACCACATGTAAATAAAGCATACTATGAGCACCTATCAGCTGAAGTTTTGGCTGCTGCCTCCACACTATATTTTTCCCTGACCCCCCCACTGGATAAACGGAGCTGTATCACTGAATCTGACTCCCCAGAAAGTCTTTTCCGTCATGCTCACTGGCCGTCCTGACCCCGTTTGTCGCTTCTGCTCCCTTTGTCCTCACAGATCAGTGGCCAACGGCCCTCAAGGGGAGGGAGAGACCCACAGAGATCAGAAAAGGGTGTCAGATACCCTGGAACTGGAGTTACAGACAGTTGTTAGCCACCATGTGGGTGTTGGGAATAGAATCTGGGTCCTCTGCAAGAGCAGTCAGTGCTCTTAAACACTGAGCAATCTCTCCAATCCTGGGAAGCATCTGAGATGACTGCTGGCTGGGGGCTCTAAGCTGCTTCAGGAAGGGAGCTGGACACCAAATACCAAGGCAGGATTAGTTCTGGGGCTTTGAACTCCAGGGAAAGGAAATGGGCTAAAAGTTGACAAGATCACCAATGACCAAAGGGGTGATTATAATTGTGCCTAGTAATGAAGTCTCCAAAACAGAGTTTAAGCATGCTTCCAGACAGGTGAACTTGAGGAGGGAGGGCACCTGGAGGGGTACACACACACACACACACACCTCACATACTTCACCCTATGCTTTCACCTGTAACTCTTTTAAGGCTGTTATAATGGGTAAACATGTGTTTTCTGAGTTTGGTAAGCCACTCTAACAAATCAATCATACCCAAGGAAGGTGACTGGGAAGCCCAATGTGCTACTTTTCTCATCAGTGTGACTAAATACCTGACAAGAAGAACCTAAGGGAAGTTTATCTTGGTTCACCGAATGAGAGGATACAGTCCACCTGGCAGTGAAGGAATGGCGGCTGCATGGCAGCAGAAGCCTGCGGCTGAGACTCCTCACACCTCACATGTCCATGACAGGAAGCAGAGAGAGGGGATGCCTGCCTGCTCAGATGGCTTTCTCCTTTTTCCTTTTATTCAATCTAGGGACCCAGCCCATGGGATGGCACCGCCCACCTTCAGGGCTGGTCTCACTAATACCCTAGGCATTTCTTAATCCAATCAAGTGGATGCTTTAAATCAGCCATTACCACCTAGTTTACAGCAACTTTGTCTGAAACACAGGATACAACCTGGGGCTTGAGACTGGCGTCTGAAGTGCAGTCTTGGGGGACTGAGCCCTTGATCCAAGGATATGACATACTCCAGGGAGACAGTGTCACTGGAGTTGAATCACAGAGAATCAGCTGGTTATCCTAGGGTGTCTGGTGACAGAAGTGTGTTGAGCCATTTAGGAGAGTAGGAAAAAGATATTTTCCCCCTTATATCCCCAATACTGTTTGGTAATTAAATCTGTTACTACAGACATGATTCACAGGACTGCTAGGTTTTAAGAGTAACATTTCAACTGCTTATCAGTCATTATTCCGTTCTCCCAGGAAAGCAGCAGAAATGGAACATGACAGGATCATTAATGTTCTGACACACCCATCACACACAGACCTCTGAATAGTTGACAGATTTTTTTTAATTAACAATCAAAAATGCTTCACACTTACAATGAGAAAATAAACGCTTCTTTAATGAATAACTGAACGAAAACTATCCAGGAACTTTTAGGCTTTTCAGTGTGTACTAAACATGATGATCAGAAGACAATATTAGCTCGAAGTAGGCAGGGATAGAACTGCAATTTATTAAAAGTCATTTACCTAAAATTAAAACACAAAATAAAACTAATATTTATATCTAATTTTAGCTGTGACTCACACACAGCCCACATCATCTTAGACTGTGTGGTTCTGATACTACTTTTTTCTAAAGTGCTCAACAGAAATTCAGATCTCACTTTAAGACCAAGAATTTCAGGTACAATAAAGCTGTTTCTGAACTTCAAAGTTTAATTAATACACAACAGCTCAAGCAACAGACACTACTTCAAAGAAAACACTTTGCTTCCTTGTTTCCCTCCAGTGCTGACCATGCTAACATTTGCCAAGTTCAGTTCTGCCTGGGGCATACACTGTACACACACACACACACCCCTTCCTGAAAGAACAGTATTTATTTCTTTCAAAAAAAAAAAAAACATCAATTTACTTGTCTCTATTTCTTTTACAAGGAGACAGCTAAATAATCTAAGTCTCATTTTCCCCTGGATGATTAAGTCTTTAATTTTAAATTGTCTTGGTCTCTTAAAATCTATATGGCAAGGAGGAAGACCCTGACAATGGCAGACAGTATGCTCCCTTGTCCTCGTCAACACGGAGCCAAAGCAAAAATAGAGCCTCATAGAAATTTCAACATTGAATTTTTTTGAAATCTGAACACTTAGTAGGAGTCAAAGTTTTGTAAGTCAGTAGTCTCTTTGTTAGTTCAAGATAAACTCTGATCCAACAGACTTGTATTGAAAAGTCCATCCATCTACCACTTTCCTAGGTCTGTTTAACCAGCGCTCACTGCCTTGTAAACAAAGGCAAGTGGCAACCACAAGACTCATTTGCTCTCTAAGAAATTCACATCACTGCGCATGTAAAGGATGCTACTCACAGCCTTCAAAGTTCTTCGACCCACAAGCATAAGCACATAGTCATCAAGAACACCACCAACGCTGACATTCAGAAGGCCCAAATACCTTCTACAGAGCTCTGAAAAAGCGCCTTGAATTTAAATATGTATTTTTTTAATTTCAGTCTTCAATATTGAAACTGCTAAGTTACTCCATTTTTCCATGAAGAAAAAAAAAGGATTAAAAAACAAATTTGGGTCAAATTACTAACTAGGTTTAAGAAAAAAGTCAATATAAACTATCCCAATAGGAAGTAAAACTTACATGTGCACAGGGTTTCTGAGCACCATTATTTGGTAATAAAGAACAATTAAACACAAAGAAAATATTCAGTAATAGAACTATGAACTAGATCAGGACATGTCTAACTGATAAATTGTATAGTCATTAAACAGAATAGGAAGATGGTGAAACAAAGTGTAAAAACACATGACTGTGCTTAGCTGAATTTACAAGGCTCCCAGGCGCCTTTACACAGTACACAACCCTACATGCAGAGCTATACAAGCACGTGATCAGAACACTGTCACGGGAAGGGCTTCTCTTTATTGAGAAACAATGCAAAGCTCCTCTAGTGGCTAAAAACTCTTGAAAAGCAAAAACAACCCCCACACAAATCACAATGTCATGAAAAACAGTCTTTGAAAACAAATGATCTGAAGGGGACACCCGTGCCTACCCAGAATGCCCTCTGGCCTAGTCCCCATGGTTGACATCATCAGTCAGGCCCTAATTTGTCCATCTTGAGCACTTTCATAATTTATGTTTAAGGACAAACTTAAAGATTTTTACACTTCTGCCTATAGAAAAACCCAGATGCACAATTAATCTCCTCTTCATAGCGGTTCCCAATTAATAATCAAGTCACTTGGGATTCGTTGATTTGTTTGAACCTAGGACCTGGGCCTTGCACAAGACAAACAAGAGCTCTACCAAGGAACATTATATCCACACCCTCAAGTTGCATATTTCAAATGGCAAAATGGTTTCCCATGTGTAACTGTAACCATAAATAAATTCCACCAGAAATATCACTAAACACAGATTACTTACAAAAGAGCAATTTTAAATGCAAAAGGGAAATATTTAGTTTTCGATTGTTTTTAAATAACTGGGGCAAAAAGACGAGATTTTCTATAACTGCAATAGAACAAGATTGCAAAGACTCCCTTGCAGGCCAAAACCTAGAGATGGAAGTTTTCTTTTAGTTTTTCTTTTGTTTTTTTTGAGGCAGGGTCTCCCTGTAGCCACAGCTGGCCTGGAACTCACTGTGTGGACCAGGCTGGCCTCAATCTCACAGAGATCCTCTCTTCTTTGGCCCCCAAGTGCAGGCATTAAAGGCATGCATCACCATGCCTGGCTTGGGATGGAATATTTTTGATGGTCTCATGATGACAGTTACAACCTGTTAGCAATTTTGGCACTTCAAAGAAAATGTTAAATCAGGAGTAATTCACACAGAGCACATACTGTTCTCAAACAGTCGCCTAATAATAAAATTTAATTTAAAATAGGAATTATTTATAACATGTTTATCAAATCTGTGGACAAGCAACATCAATGTGACAATAAAGCAGTCTATTACTTATCAAAGTATTCTATACTACTACAAAATGGTCATATGGAGCTCAGCACTCAGGATGATGATAATGCTTTACTTCTTGCAAGCGGAGTATCTTTCAGCTACGTTCTCCCAGTTGATCACATTCCAAATAGCTTTCAGGTAATCAGGTCTGACGTTTTTATACTGAAGGTAATAGGCATGCTCCCACACATCAATCCCCAGCAGTGGAATAAGGCCTACAGGAAAGAAAAAAAAAGCTACCCTTTAAAACAATGTCATCCACTTATTATTATAAAATGGGAAATTTGCATAAGAATGAATATTCCTACAAAAACATCTTAAACTTTATTTTGGAAGAAAACGTAACGAATACAAAATAACCACCCTTGGAAAATCAATTAACTACAGAATCTTAAGTCTGCTCTCAAAATAGTAACAGAGCCACTGAGTGCTGAACCCAGCCTTCTTCAAGTATCTCAGGTGCCACAGGAGAGTGTGCTGTCTCGGGGATGACTAAGGCCCCACCAAGCTCTTTTCCCAAAGTTCGGGAGTTGGGGGGCAGACATTATGCTCTGCTCCCCAGGGAAGTGAGTCTTATGGGCAGTCCTGAGGCATGGGCAGAGGTGAAGAGAGGAGCAGAGAAACACTGCTGTTTGATGTGAGCACAGCAGGCTGAGACCATCACATCCAGCTAGGTGTGGTGGTGCACACCGTTAACCTCAACACTCTGGAGACAGAGGCAGGTGAGGCCAGCCTGGTCTACATAGAGTTCCAGGCCAGCTAGGGCTACACAGTGAGATCCCACTTAAAAAAAAAAAAAAAAAAAAAATCAGAGATCAGAGCCACAGCTAGCTGCTCAACAGCTTTGGACTCCACCTCCTACACGTCAGGGACATCTTATACAGGGCTTCTAGTTCAATCAGGCCCAACAGAAAAAGTAAGGATTTGCTGAGCCTTGAACTTTCCAAGTCAAATATTTTCATATACCAAAGCCCTGAAGAAAGGCAGGAGGCTGGGACCTAAGTTCTGGTCCCAGTTTAACCACAGGTGCCCACCAGAAAAGGAGAGCACAGGTGCCCAAGACACACTCTTCTTTGTTCACTGCTTATCTACTTTTAGTTTTTTATTATAGTGTATACAGTAATTTCCTATAGAATTAAGCAGGATTTATTATTAAAACATTGTTAATGTATCTAAAAATTACATGTGTTTATTTTACAAAATATCAGAGAGTTTTTATTACACAAGACTTGGGTACTATCTAATAAGATTTACAAGAATTACTGTCCACAAAGTTTAAACTCTACTAGTTTTCTTTATTTCTCATTAAGTGCTTTATAGCAAACTGTTATCTCCAAAATGAAAAATGAGTAATAGTTTTTAAAGTTAACCTGTTGTTCCTTGCAATGGGTCCTGATTAGAGCAGGCAGCAACCTGTAAGCGTCCCTGCTCCTTATTGAAGCCAAGCCAGCCCCAGCCTGAGCCTTGGACGCCAACAGACACAGCTGTCAGCTTCTCCTTAAACTTCTCAAAAGACCCAAAGTCACGTTTGATAGCTTCCAGCAACTCTCCTAAAGGAAAAAATCCATAAAACAAACGGATTTCAACAATTGCAATACAATATGCACTCAATATTAAGATATTCGTGTCACAGGACCAACTAGACAACATCATTCAGAAGATGCTCTAGCCCAAGGAACCCACACACACCAGCACTGTGTCTGTCCCAATGCCTGGCTGAGTTTTCATTTACAGCCCTTTTCTTAAAGATTTACTTAGTTTAGTTTATGTGTATTATGTGTGTGCCTGAGTGTGTATGTATGAACATCACATGCATGCAGGCAGTTGCAAGCCATGTGGGTGCTAGGAACCGAACCTGGGTCCTTTGGAAAAAAATGCAGGTGCTCTTAACCCGAGCCACCTCTCCAGTCCCCTTCACAGCATTTTTAATGGCGGTTGATCAGTGCAGTTAGAGGCTGCTGCACTCTCTGTGCTATTTTCATCAGGAGGCCCTGTCTCAAAAAGGCAACAGGCAATCATCCACAAACACAACGAACAGATCCAGCAGAGCACAGCACAGAACAGCAGAAAACATCAGCATCACTGGCTGACTTGGCTACACTCTATCCTAGTCGCCGTCAAAACCTCAGAAGTACAAGTCATAGTCTGAAGACCTAACTCAGAAAGAATTAATAATCCAGTTTCCCAGATGTACTTCCCATTTAATTCTACTCCAAAGACAGTGCACTTCCTAATAGTGAGTAAGACTGGCTGCCTTGTATAGTAGCAATGGCTCAAGACAGAACAAATAGCAGGCCAGGAATGCAGCTCAGGCAGAGGGTTGGTCTGGTATGTAGCTGACCCCGGATTTGATGCCTATGGCCATCACAGACAGACAAACAAAAAACAGGCACTTCCAGCTGGAGAGGTGGCTCAGCAGGTAAGTGCACTGGCTGCTCTCGCAGAGGTCCCAGGTTCGGTTCCCAGCACCCATGGCAACCAACAACTATCCTTAACTCCAGTCCAGGGGATTTGACACCCACCTCTGGCCTCTGTGGGTGTTGCATGATACAAGTGCACTTACATACCTGCAGGCAAAACACTCACACATAAACGTTTTTTTGAAGCCACTCAGGGTAAAGGGGAAAAGAAATATACCCATGCATTTGATGTCACTTTTGTGTGAGTCTAATATTGTTTTATGACTGATTATTTACTTCAGGACAAGTATTCACCTTACAGTGGTTTATGAATGCTTATTAAACCCTCTGTTTAAAAGGAATCAAGGTAAAATGGAGAAAGCTATCTTGAGGAACAAACACACAGTTATTTTGTGGACCATCCATGTGCAATTCCCTTGCTTATAATACAATCTTGTGCCTGCACTAAACACCTGCCTCTGCAAACATGCCTGCAGAAGGAATTTTTTTGCAGTGGTCTAAGGGCACATAATGACCTGTGCTGGCAATCACATAGGCTACAACTTAAACCCACAGTGTTGTAATCATTAAAGAATGACTGGGAAGACCTACAAAAACTACAAAGGAACTAAATCCAGGGTTCAAGTTCTTTGGGAAGAAACTCCACTCAAGTTCACTGACACGAATAAACTTTCCCGACTTTTCCACATGAGTCTCCTGGTATCTTTATTGTACATGGCAGGTCCTGTGTCTCAGTCTGCCATAACAAGGACACAACAAGAGCCAATAAAATGGCTCAGAGGGTAAAAGCACTTGCTGTGTAACCCTGGAGACTGAGCTGAATCCCCAGAAACCATGTGCAGGCAGAAGGAAAGAGCCAACTCCAAAGCTGTCTTCTGACCTCCACACACATGCACAGTGCACATGCTCACATACACACATCACACACACATAAATAAAAGATGAAATCAACAATAATTCCTGCTCCACACAAAATACAGACAAAGCTGCACCAACATACACCAACCTTTGGGTTCTCCACCACCATTAGGGCTCAAGTTCGTCCAGAAAATGGCATGATTAAGATGTCCTCCACCATTGAACTTCAACGCCGGCTGAAGAGCTACCTGAGCCGTAACATCTCCTGAAATATAAAATGCAAACACATTCTTAAAAAAACTCCTTACACCTGGCATTGATGGCACTGGCCTAGAACCCCAGGACTCAGTAGCCTGAGGCAGGAAGATGGTCATGTATTTAAGACAAGCCTAGGTTACATAGCAAGCATCTGTCTCAAAAAGAAAATAAACAAACAAACCTTGTATGTGTGGTTTTGTTTTTGTTTTTTGGACAGGGTCTCACTATGTAGCTCTGATTAGCCTGGAACTTGCTATGTAGACCAAGCTAGCCTCTAGCTCACAGAGATCCATCTCCCAAGTGCTTTGATTAAAGGCAAGCCTCACCACGCCCAGCTACTCTTAAACCACTTCATGCACTATATATATATATTTTTTGAGACATTAAATAATTATACCACTGTATCTATAAATTTAGCAGTTTCAGATTCTAGCAAAAAAAAAAAAGAAAAAAAGAAAAAAGGCCCTCCTAAAATTACTTGTTCCAGTTATTTTCAGTTCAATTAACAACATGCAGAACAACTGGTAAGGGGCCCAGCAGGTGGTACAGTGAGGGCAAAAATCACTCCTAACTACCAAGGGCTTACAATTCTCTTGGGTACAAGTGATTTCAGCAAATAGAATACCAAAGAAAACACAGTAATGACAGCAAAGTATCCTGGTACATGCATGTAATCAACACAGTAATGAGAGCAAAGTGGCCTAGTGCATGTATGTAATCAAAACAGTGATGAGAGCAAAGTGTCCTGGTGTATGTATGTAATCAATACAGTAGTGAGACCAAAGTGTCCTGGTGCATATATGTAATCAACACAGTAATAAGAGCAAAGTGTCCTGGTGCATGTATGTAATCAGCACAGTAAGGAGAGCAAAGTATCCTAGTACATGTATGTAATCAACACAGTAATGAGAGCAAAGTGTCCTGGTGCATGTATGTAATCAGCACAGTAAGGACTAGCAAAGTATCCTAGTACATGTATGTAATCAACACAGTAATGAGAGCAAAGTGTCCTGGTGCATATATGTAATCAACACAGTAATGAGAACAAAATATCCTGGTACGTGTATGTAATCAACACAGTAATGAGAGCAAAGTGTCCTGGTGCATATGTGTTATCAACACAGTAATGGGAACAAAGTACCCTGTTACATGTATGTGATTCCAACATTTGGAAGACTGGACCAGAAGGATCTTGAGTTTGAGGCTAGGGTGGGCTACATAGTAAAACCCTACCCCAACAAATAAATCAGAAACAGAATACAGTAATACACTCCTAAAATGTAGAGCTGGAAAACTAATTTTTAAAACAGACAACTAGTCATTGGGATATATTTCAAAGTATCAGTAACAAACTCAAAAACTCAAGCTGTACTCCTGATTTCAACCCCAAACTTACTCTTCCTATGATCATCCCCATCTCAGTGAATGTAAGCCTGTCCCTTGGACACTGGTGTCATTTTTTATTCCTCTCCTCACACTCCACACCCAGACCACCATCAGCACAACTCCATCTTAAGACCTGTCCAGAACCCAATCCCTTCATCCTCACTTGGTTGCTACCTGCTGGTACAGAGCACCACCTGCATTAATGCCTCTGAACCCTTTCTGAGAGGTGTCCCTTCTCAGTGGGGGCCAGCCCTAAGATGTCAACACTCAACTACAGAGAGTAATTTCACCTGGCCTCTGCTCCTGAGGAGCCTCAGTGGCCTGCCAGTGCTCAGATGACAAGCTCAGTGTGCTGCTGTTGGTGGCTGCCTCTGCTGACCACTCTAGCCACCACAGCTTCATGACTGATTCTTAATCAATAATGCCTTCTTTATCCAGGATACAAAAACCACCCATCCCCCACCATCCCTCGCAGGCCCATAGCCTACTTTGTCTTTCTCAATGGCACACACAACTCTGCACACTGCACATTAGTTCATCTGTCTCCTGACCAGTCCATGATTCCAGTGACAACAAGCTTTCTGCCTTGCTGTGTCCTCAGTGTTCAATGCATTTCTCAAACACAGAAGGCACTCTAGAAATATTTGATGACTCACTTCATGATTTAACATATTGAATGTAGATTCTAAATAAAAACTAATTTTCTTTAATCTATAGTTTGCAACCCCAGCACTCAGGGAGGCTGAGGCCAGCCTGGACTACATGAGACCCTATCTCCAAAAAATGGGGGGGAGAGGGGTGTGGTGGTGGTGCAGGCTTTTAATCTCAGCACTCAGGAGGCAGAGGCAGGTGGATCTCTGTGAGTTCAAGGCCAAGGCCTCTATATATTTACTCTATAATGAATTCCAGGTCAGCCAGGGTTACATACTGAGACCCTGTCTCACCAAAAAAGAAAACTAAAAAGATGAAGGAAATCTGAAGGAGTTAATACCTGCTCTGAAGTACACTTTTCTGAGGTTCAATGTGTTCTTTGGTGTCAGTTCAAATTATTGTGCTCAGAAACAAATGTTAAAGCCAAGTCTGGTGGTACAGGTCGTACTTACAAGTCACAAGGTAGAGACAAGAAGAAAACAAACCAGGTTGGCCACTGAGTGAGATTCTCAGTCTCGAAATTTTTAAAAGGCAAGCTAGGCGGACCTAAGGAGCAGACACTTCAAGCAGCATTCCCCTTTCAGTTTCGTCTTTACCCCAGCCTGGGATTAGCACTCAAGCCAAGTTATGCATCTGTAGGCTCTTCTCCAGCCAGAAAGATCCAGGCTGTTTGCAAGGGCAGTGTGAAGTTCAACACTGATGACATTATCCAGGACCCAGGGAAACTGATCATGGACCGAACTGACACTCATTACAACACCGTCATTCTCAAGAAGTGGTACATAATTTCTAAAGACCACTTGTCTCTGGGAGACTAAAATCCAGGATGCGGTGAACCCAGAGCTTTATCACCAAAGAGAGCAGAATCCTTCTCTCTGCCTTCCCATTCTCACCTGTCATGCCATATGGATGCCTGTTTATAACAACTTGCATAAATAAAAGCTTAGATACTGGAGAAGGGGGGAGGGGGTGGGGATGTACCTCAGATGGTAGAGTGCTTACCTATCATGCACAAATCCCTAGATTGGATCCCTACCACGGAATACACCAGGAGTGAGAAGTGTCACATACCTGTAATCCCAACATTCTAGGAGTGGAGGCAGGAGGATCCTAAATTCAAAGTTATTTTCTACTACACAGTGAGTTTGAAGCCAGTCTGGGTTGCATGAGATCCTGTCTCAAAAAATTTAATAATCATGAACAAGGCCCTGGATTCAATCTCTCTATAGCAAAAATAAGTAACTTAAAACTTCTGGCTGAAAGGTATTTGTATTAGTTACATGTGATGAACATATGACATTATTTTACTTGACTTTTTCAAGTTTTTAACTTTCTAATAATTTCAAAATTGTAATTCTGAGTAAAAGCAAGTCCTGCAATAGAGTACTGCACAGAGCACTACAATAAAACCTACAGCTTGTTTATTCTCCCAGCAGTTCTCATTAAACAAGCACAGCTCTGGCTCCACAAGAAAAGCACAGGAAGCCTGGTGTTGTGGTGTGTGCCTCTAGTCCCAGCACTCGGAAGACAGAGGCAGAGGCAGCCTAGCCTGTTCTACATAATGAGTTCCAGGCTAGCTGTGGCTACAGGACTAGAATTAAGATGTTTTTACAGCACTACAGAGGTTTCCCGGGTATCTGAGGTCACCCTGCAGGGAATGCTTTCCCAATCGGGATATTCCCCAGCATTAACCATTACCACATCTTCCCGCATGTTATTTCCTAAATCAGGAGTCTTTTCCCGTGCTCAATTCGTCAGATTTGATCACTGCAAATAAATCTTCCAGAATGTTGTAACTGAGGTCACCCTGCAGGGAACGCTTTCCATTCCCCAGCATTAACCATTACCACATCTTCCCGCATGTTATTTCCTAAATCAGGAGTCTTTTCCCGTACTCAATTCGTCAGATTTGATCACTGCAAATAAATTTTCCAGAATGTTGTAACTTCATCTTTCGGTTTGGCCACTTACCGCAAACACAATCATGCTGCAATACTGTACTTCTCCACTAGATGCCCCTCGTCCACCAGATGTCACTGTCTAGCGTTTGTCAAATTTCACAGGCCTCAAATTCAGTACATTGAGGAAAAAGTAAACTTTGCTGTGAATACAATCAAGCAATGCACCTAATCTAGAGGCCTGAACATCAGTTATTTTCCTTGTAAAAACTACTAATTGACAACATACTACTTTGTCTAGACATTATAGTATACCCAGTCCAGCAACATGGCTCAGCAGGTAAAGCAAACCTGACAGCCTGACCTGTGTAGAACATGAGTTCAGTTCCTAGATCCCATGGTGGAAAAAAACACTCCCAGAAGTTGACCTCCACAGGAACGGGGGCACACATGTTCTCTCTCTCTAATAAAATTTTTACAGACCATAGCACTCCCATATTCATCCCGAGCACAAAAATAAAAAGTCCAGATACTACTGTCTGTTGACTGAGCTCTTTACATATATACAGTATATACTTATTTACTCGTTTAACTCCGTACTATATTGTTTTGAGACAGGGTCTCCCTATAGCCCCAACTGGCCTCCACCTCACAGAGATCGACCTGACCTCTGCCTCCCAAGTGCTAGGATTAAAGGCATGCACCACCATCCCCCACCTAACTACTATATTTAACTGAGGAAGATATTGTTTCCCACAAAATGGCTATTCTTGTGAATGTTGACCCCGAAGTTAAATCAAGAAAAATCATCAAGCCTACCAGAGGCTGGCCTGTTTTGTCGTTAAGTGCTTTTCCGTCATGAGCACCCCAGTGCTAACTAACACCTGCCTCTAAACACACGAGTGAAACGTATAATCTCACAGTGCGGGGGCAGTTGAGGCTCCGGGGCCTCTCCAAGTCCTACACTGGGCTCTCAGTCCCACCGTTTCCCATAACTATGGCAATACCCCAACTCCTGTCCAAGCCATCTCCAGGGACCAGCGCTCCCTCGGCTGCTGCCCAGGCCCACAGGCCGGCCGGCCTGCCCACAACAGAGCTCTGTATCCAGGGCCACCCTGAAACTCAAGGGCACTCTCCCTGACCCAGGCTGGGCCGGAAGCAGACGAGCACTGGCAAACCTACCTGGGAAACCAAACACGTCCAAAGCCTCGTTACATAACAGGCGCACAATTTAAATATTCCTATGCAAAAAGAGAAATACTCATATGCGAAAACGGGTTACGCATCAGCTTTCTTTAAAGGCCAGCGACAGCAATGCGGGAACGAAATGGCCTTCTGCGATCCGCGTTTCCGGGGATAGTCAAAGTTTATACAAACCTCTTCTGCAATAAAACGAGCCAGTATTTACCGCGGGGGGCTCCGCGCTGCAACGCGGCTGCCGGGACTCGGGCGCCTTCTGCGCGCACGCCCCCACCCCACCCCACCCCGCACCTACCCTTGGCCAGCGCCTCGCGGTACTTCTCCTCGGTGGCGTTCAGGTTGTTCACGTAGGTGGCGTGGTGCTTGCTGTGGTGCAGCTGCATGATCTGCCCGTTGATGTGCGGCTCCAGCGCGCCATAGTCGTAAGGCAGGTCGGGGAGGCTGTGCTTCTGCCGGGACCCCAGGACGCCCACCGCCGGGGCCAGCCTCCCGCCCGCACTGCGGACGGGGCGCACGCCGGGTCAGACCGGGTCCGACCGGGTCCCGCCGGCCCCCGCGAGCCCCCTGCCCCCCGCCGGCCCCGCGCGGTGCCGCCGCACACCTACCCGCACGCCGCCCGACACAACATGGTCAACGCCGCCCGCCTGGCCGCTGCTCTCCTGCTACCTCCGCGTCCGTTCGCTGCAGCCGAGCGACAGAACCGAGGCGTCCCGCACCGCGCAAGGACAGCGCTAGGCCGCGCCCAGCCCGCCGCGACCACCTGGGGAGGGAGGGCCAGCCTCCGGCCGCGCCTCCCCCACACGGAGTTGGTTCGGCCCGCAGGCCCCGCCCCCGGGCCTGGCACGTCCCCTTTCCTGGCCTGGCCCCGCCCCCCGCCTGGTCACGCCCCTCCTCTGCCCGGAGGCCCCCACCCCGACACAGACCACGGCCTCTTCTCGGCCCTGGCCCCGCCCACATAGACCGTCAAGGCCCGGCGGCGGCTCCGCCCCTTCGCTGCTGCGCTCCTCGTTTCCTGAGGCTCCTTCCCGACGCCCCCGGGCCTAGCTGCTGGTCAGGAGACCAGCGAGCGTGTTGTTGCGGGTGTAACCTGGGCCTCTGACACAGTTAGCTCAGCCCTCCCGCCCTGTGTCCGCAGTGACCTTCCTCGTTCGCTTGTAGAGGTCGCGTTAGGATCTGCAGGTGCAGCCTGCCGGGTAGCACTGTTAATAAAAAGACCAGGGCTGGAGAGCTGGCTCGGCAGTTAAGAGCACTGGTTGTTCTTATAGAGAATCCGGGTTCGAATCCCAGCACCCACATGTCGCCTAACACCCGCCTGTAACTCCAGTTCCAGGGGATCTGACCTCCGTGGGCTTTGCACAGCATGTACACTTACAGACATGCAAGCAATACACTCATACATAAAATAATAATAAAAACAAAACACTAAGCCCTATCAAGTTTTGAGTAGTTGGTGACGTCTATGAACCAACTGCTCAGCCGAATGTAAAAGGACATTTTTTTCTGTGTTTCATAGTCCAATAAACCATGAAACAGTTTAAAAAAAAAAAAAAAACTATGGGGCTGGAGAGATGACTCAGCAGAGGACCCCAGCTGGATTCCCAGCACCCACATGGCAGCTAACAACTATCTGTAACTCCAGTTCCAGAGGATCTGACTCCTCTTCTGACCTCTGCAGGCATTGCATGATACAGATGCAGTTACATACATGCAAGTAATACACTCACACATAAAATTTTAAGTAAATTCAAAACAATCTTTAAAAAGCAATTATGTGGGTTCTGCCTTCAAAGAAGACAACCTTCTGCTGTCATTGGTATGATTTAGGTCTTCACTGATAAGAACAGTATCAAAGGAAGCAGAAGGCCACTGGTGGGTAGTTTGTTGTTTTCTTTTACACACACACCCCCTTGCAATCCTCCCAAGGATGGCTAGGCTTTGGGGAAGAGGACTAGGAAGATGCAGTCAGGGGAAAAGGAACTTGTTCACAGTTCTCAGGAAAGGTACTCAGTGCACATGCTGGAGTGAAGGAGGACGTTCAGATTATGTTGTAGATAGCCTTAAAACTTAGAGTGGGGGTGTTGGAGAGATCACTCTGTGATTAATTAAGATCAAGTTCAGTTCCCACCACCCACATCATCTCACAACCACCTATAGCTCCAACCCCAGAGAATCTGACTCTTCTGGCCCCCTTGAACATCCAGACACACACACACACACACACAAAACTAAAATCTAAATTTAAAAAAGAACAACTCAGAGAAGAGCCTGGGGGTATGATTTGTGACAGGAACTGAACAGAGAAAAGGCAACCAGCCCTGAGGTTCTTCAGATGAGGGTCTAGTACTGATTTCATGAGGGACAAAACAGGCTACTTCATTCCAGATACTTGAATGATCATGATTAAAATTATCTTGGCTACATCCTCTTCTTTTTTTAATTTTTTATGTGTATGTATGTGTTTTGCATGCATGAATGTAAGTACACCTCTACATGCAATGCTCAAGGAGGTCAGACAATGGCTTCAGATCCCCTAGAACTGGAGTTATGGATGGTTGTGAACTACCATGTGGATACTGGGAACTGAACCCTGGTCCTCTGTAAAAACAGCCAATGCACTAACCACTGAACAATCTCTCTAACCCCTCTTTTTTTCTTTGTTAACACTTGAGGTTAGCATATAAAGTACTGGGTTTCATATGACAATTTCATCCATATTTTTTCTTTCCTGTCACAAATCTTACAGAGGCAGAAATCTAAGCTAAAATCCCCTGTACTCAGCATTGACTAATCTCCATGGACACAGTACAAATGCCATCATCCCAAATGTTGGAATTCCCAAAGCACCAAATCCCTAAAGTCTGAAAGCCCTAAAAATGTAAGTTTTTTATAGTCACAATTCTGAAAGAATAAAATGTTGAAATTTTTTTGGTTTGTTTGCTTTTTGGTGTTTTTTGTTGTTGTTTGATTTTTTTGTTGTTGTTTATTTTGTTTTGCTTTTGAGACATAGTCTCCCTGTAGCCTCGCCTGGCCTGGAACTCACAGAGATCCGCCTGCCTCTGCCTCCCGAGTGCTGGGACTGAAGGTGTGCACCACCACACCTGGTTAATAATGTTGAAATTTTGAAGTTAAGATTACCAAAAAAGAAAAAAAAAATCTCAATTTCCATGGGGGCTTCTGTTGTTGTTTTGTTCTGACTCACTTTGCATGTAACTCTGGCTGGCCTGGAACTCCCAGTATACACCAGGCCAGCCTCTGCCTCCTAAGTGCTGGGATTACAGGTGTGTGCCACCAGGCCTGGCCTCTGAGGAACTGACTGGCCACAACATTCAGCACAACAAAAACTTCAGCTTCAAATGTGTCGCCTACAATGACAGTCCTTCCAGCTGATGGAATTTTGGAGCTTTTATAATGAATCAAATATACACTTGAAACAGGTAGGGACTGCCACAAGGGACAAAAAGGCAAACTCCAGGCCCTCAACCTGTTACCCATTTGAAGCACACTACCAACACCACATTAGGTAAATAAGGCCAGAATGTTTAGAGAATAAGAGTCCTTTCTGACTAAACGCTGCCAAAACTAATGAGGTTCAAGATGGCTACACAAATGGTAAAGACTAGGCGGAATTGTTACCAAAGCAACCAAACAAAACCTTAAATAAGCCTTCTAGCTTCAGTAACACTTTTTTTAAAAAAAATAATATATTTATTTAGGGCTGGAGAGCTGTTAAAGGCTCAGGCTCACAACCAAAAAATAATATTTTTATTTTATTTCATGTGTATGAGTGTATTTCCTGCATGTGTATAAGTGCACCCATGTCGTGTAAAGCCCGTGGGGGTCAGAAGAGAGTGTTGGATTCCCCTGGAACTGGAGTTACGGACAGTTGTTAGCCAAGCTGCTCTCTGACCACTGTATGCACTACGTGTGTGTGTGTGTGTGTGTGTGTGTGTGTGTGTATGAGTGTTTTGCTTGCATATATGTAAATGCACCAGTGTCATGCAATGCCAGTGGAGGTCAGAAGAGGTTATTGAATCCCCTGCAACTGGAGCTATGGATGGTTGTTAGCCACCATGTGGATGCTGGGAATCAAACCCGAGTCCTCTGCAAGAGCAACCGGTGCTCTTAACCATTGAGCCATCTCTCCAGCCCAAGCTCTAGTAACTCTTAGTTAACTTAAAAAGCATTCATTTTTGAGGCCACACAGCTGAGCAATGCCTTACTGGTTTCTCACTAGCCCTTTCTGTCTTCTGAGTCAGACTCTACTCAGCTCTGTGTGTAGACATGTTGTCATTTGAGAAATGTTTTGTCCAGAATTGCGACATAACATGACTTGATATATTCCCCATGGGAGTGGATTTCTGTTTCTTCTGACCTGCCCTTGTGCTTTCTCCGAAACTCCAGCATCTATAGTCCCTCAGCCTTATTATACGGTCCAACCCAAACCACAAGGCCAGGACATTTATGCAAGATGATGATGTCAAGAAAAACCCAGCAGTCCTAGGCTAAGCCACTGCCTGCTACCCTGAAAACCTCAAGGCCAGAGGACCAAAACACAAGAGCAGACTTTGAAATTAAGTCCATGACTAATGGACCATGACGAAACTTCACTCTTCCCCAACCCCACAGCTCAATAAAAGCTTGCTGCTCTCTTTGATGAAAGGTCTCTGTCTCTATCACTAATGTCTCCCTTCAGTTTAAGCTGAAGCTGGCTGATTCTGATTGATGTTCCAGTAAAGGAACCTTGTCTATTTTGTCCTTTGTAACATGTGGCTTGGTTTTTTGTTTGTTTGGTTTTGACTTTTTGGCCTTTTTGAGGCAAGGTTTTGCTCTGTGACCCTAGCTGGCCTCACACTTGAAGCAATCCTCCATCTCCTGAATGCAGGCATGCATCACCACACCAGTCACTCCGAAGTTTTCACGCTGTAAGAGCTGTCATCCAGTATCGCTTGAAGAAACCAGCAAAGTTACTAACTAGCTGCAAAACAATTGTGCATGTGGTATAAGACACTTATACAATGCTGTTACTATTCATTTGCCAGAATTGTTTCTTCCACATCTGTGGTCTGATATGATGAATGCGAAATGTACCTCACACTCAAGATTGAACTCAATCCTGTCTTCCCTTTTTTGTGTGTGTACATGTGCGTGGTATAAGTGCATGTTGTGTGGGTATGTACACATGTGCGGGGGGGTACTGTGCTCATAGAGGCCAGAGATCAACATCAGGTGTCTTCCTTACTCTGTAGTATATTTTTGGAAACAGGATCTCTAAATGAACCTGGAGCTCACCAGTTTTGCTTCGCTGGCTGGAGAGCAAGCTCTGGTTATCTACCCATCTCCACCCAACCCCCACAGCACTGTGGTTACAGACAGGCACCACCCCAGCTGGTTTCTACGTGGATGCTGGGGTACTGAACTTAGAGCCTCAAGCTTGCACACAGGCATTTTACCCACTGAGCCATCGCCACAGTCCATTGTTTTTGAAACAGTTTCACTGAATAGTCCAGTTCCGATGCCTAGAAGTCCTAATCCTCCTCCTGCCTCAGCCTCCAGAGCGCTGGGATTACAGGGGTGTGCCACCATGCCCAGCTGGCAACACTGTCTAGTTTGCATGCAGGCCAGTTTTGAAACTTCCTTCCTCCTGCCCCATGCAGCTTCCCAGCTTACAGCTGTCATCACAATTGCTGACTGGCTTCTGGTGGTATCTCTTGCATTTAACTCCAGCCGGTACTTTATGAGCCTGTGGTGATACTGCCTCTGCTCTGA